TTTGTATCATCATCTTTTACAATTCCTAACCAGGAATTGAATTCTGGATGAATAGCTGGATCCAGCCATTGGAGATTAATCCTTGTTTGTTTCCGTGCCATTTTAATTTAAGAATGTAGAATAACAAACCTTGAATAATAATATTAAAAGACAGATGAACCAGATCAGATAGCAATGTGTAAGACGTTTTGTCACAACAGTATGTAAAATATTCAAACGACATCCAATCCACATCTGCATATATCACCCATGCTTTGTAATGGGATCTAATAGATTTTCCAATTTACTTACATCAATTGAAGAATCGGAGTTCACAGGAAAAGTCATCATTGTCTTTTCAAACAATGGAAAATCCGACTCCAATCCAAATGACTGATCTTGGGTGCTGCACTGTCTAGACCAGGCATGGCCAACATACGGCCACAGGACGGATCTGGCCTGTCTAATGAATTTATTGGCCCACGATTAATTTTCCAATATTATTACTTTCCATTATTATTCCAATCTTCCAATATTAATACTGAAGTCCAAATAGCTCGATGAAAAATTCTGACGCCTATAAAAAAAAGTCAACAACTCACTGTGTGTTTAGAGTTAACCCTCCATTACAAATCTCATAAGTACAGAGTAGAATGTTGATAAAACATGATAATGTGAAAAATGTATCTGTAATCTCTATCTACAATTTAGTCTCTACGGAGTGACACCACAATGAGATCTTGCACCACCTCAAAATCTTCCTAGGGCAGCCTCTGGTTCAGCCTGTGGAAAAAGTTCTCTTTCCAATTCGGCCTGGGGGCAAAAACTGTTGGCCACCCCTAGTCTAGACTATTCCTCAAGTTTCTATAAAAATTTTTTGTTCATTCCTTTTTTCTCTGATAATTAAATTATTTTACATTTTTATATTTTAGGAGTTCCGGAACCTCCCACTGTATTCCTATGACATCATAGTATTACGAAAATTGGGATACTTAAAACTTACAGAATTTAAATAAAATAAATACAGAAATAAACATCAAACGAAATTACAATTATACGTTACTAAAATATAGAAGTTCAGCACACAGAATCGTAACTACAAATCTCTTTCTTTTGCAACATAACTATAAAAATTGTTTTGGTGTTGTTTCACACAAAAGATAATCAAATTTATTTTAATTTTTTAGTAATTTAATTAATTTTTTAAAAATTTACAATCTTTTTAATTTTTAAATTTTAATTATAAGCAAGTTAATATTGGTTAAGCTATCAGATTACCTGTTGATTTTCAAAAATATAACTTTAATATATCTATTACAAGTATCATCAATCTTGCCAGTTTTTAAGCTCTAAATTTGCCAAAATCAGTGATATTTGTTACCCAATGTCATTTCTGTTAAACTAATTATTAAACTATGTATCAAAATTGCAGAAAAAGCGGAAGAGAGGGAAAAAATACACTTGCAGTACAGTACTTTCAAGGAAAATCATAACAACAAATATAAAAAGCTCGTGCCAACCACAAGTCATTGCCAGAATTTTACTGTAAACGTTGGGTAACTATAATTTTTTATGTTGTGTAGTAATATTTTAAATGTGAAAAATGATTAAATTACAGAGTTTTACTGATATATTTAGCTATTTTGAAGTAAACATTCTAATAAATTACAATTTCAACTTTTAGAAGTTTGCAAACAAATTTTTAATTAGTCATCCTTTATTCTAATTAACAATTTCATCTTTTTATAATTTATAATTGCTGAATTATTAAAATTAAAAACTATTACATAAAACGTTATTAATCCAAAACTGTAAAATTATATGGCTTCAGGACGGTGAAAAATGCCATTTCAAAATGGATTCTGGTGTATTTTCTTATTAAAGATTGCAGCATTATTTCTTGCCGCCTGCAGATAGCTACGATTAGTCATCCATATCCAGCAAACAAGATCAACAAGGCAGCTAAGAAGAGAAATTCCCTGACTTTTTGACAATTTTTGACAAATTCCCTGACTTTTTCCGAACATTAATGAAAATCCCTGACTTTTCAGGTGCGTAGGAACCCTATATATAACAATTTACATGTCATAGAAAAAAACTCTGATTCTGATTGGTTCTGTGTGACATTTTTCAATTTTTAGTACTCTATATATGTATACAAGGTGAGTAGGAAGGTGAAGGAAACATCTTGGAGAATGATAGTACAAATCATTATAGGCAAAAACTTTAGAAATAAGCCAAACAATTGCTGGATTAAATCAAGCTACTTTACCAATAAAGTAACCTGATTTAATCTGACAATCGTTTGTCATATTACTAAAAATATATAAATATCCCAAAAGCGTAATATGTACAAAAAACTTTACATGAACATGGGTATTTTTCTCAATAGTTTTGGAGATACAGCTGTATTAAAGTTGTTCACATACAATAATGAATGACAGATGTTACAAATGGCTTATACCTTTCTTATAAATTTTGCATTTTATTGTTGGACTAATTGTGTCACCACCACCTTAATTTTGTTACCAATGCAAATTCCCAATCCTTCAATTTTTTCCATTAAGTCAAAAACACAAAAATCACATGGCAACAAGTAAGGGCTGTAGAGTTTGGGTTTTATTTGTATATAGCAATGTAAAATGTGGTCATCAGCAAAAGGGACCCTTTGGCCTCTAGGTGTTATAAATGTGAAAATTCCACATGGCCAGCCCAACAGTGAGGGACAAACCCATGACTGACTACACTGTTCTGCAAATAAAATTTATTTCTGCTTCCGTTAAACATTCACCAATTTTTATAGCTTCAATAGTGCTGAATATGAAATCTGGCAACAGAACTGGTTTAACACCCACCACTTTTGAGAGAAATAAAGTTTTTGAAGAAAAACATTTTCTGTTCAAAATATCATATTCATTGTCTACATTGCTAATTGACTAATTAGATACAAATGCTAATTGACTACTTGACTAATTAGATACAAATAAACTTATGTTAACTACTACTTTTTCATAATTCTATACATTTAAATCTGAAACAGTTAATGTTTTCTTCCTTTTATATTCTTCTGAAGTCTCTCACTGTAGAGTCTAGCAGTAATCTGCTAACATTAATGTATTTGGTAGGATGTTACCAACTTCTCCATAATTTCCTCATAGTCGTTAGCTCATAGATTTCCCAAAAAATTCTTGCTCATATTTTTGAATGCATTCCTGCATGGAATGCTTTCGGCAGACCACTAGCCGAGAGGATCACGATCCTCCAACAAGCACACATAGCCAACCCATATTGTTGTCTGCCATCCAGACACAGATGGAACCATCTTTACAGACCTGTGTAGGTACCATTTTGAAGCACCTGGATGAGGAATATTCTGTATCACAGTGAGCATTAAGTGTGCTGCCATTAACACCACCCATCATCCCTTTATTTGGAGTGATGTCGCTTCCTGTGGTGGCACACTGCCCCCACAGGTGGTATGATGGTCTGGGATGCCACCATATACAACAGCCAGTCACCACTAGTAGTGATCCATGACCATGACAGCCCAGCAACATGTTAGTGACATCCTGCAGCCAGATGTGTTGCCTCTCATGGCAGGGCCCCCAAGAGCCATTTCCAACAGGACAATCCTTGACCACACACAGCAAGAGTGTCACAGGACTGTCTCTGCCACATTACCACACTTTTCTGGCTTGCCTGGTCCCAATTTGTCATTCATTGAGCATGTCTGGGATTACCTGGATGCCTAAGAGTTTGGCCTAACTAGAGGGCTGCTTGCAGTAACTGTGGACAGAGATGCCACATTATATCATACAGCACCTATATGCCTCCACTATCAACTGTATTATAACGTGTATTCATCCAACAGGGTGCTAGAACCTCGTTTCATTTATAGTTTTTCCTGCAATAAATGATCCTTTTGCTTTCATTTTGTGATTACTTACTTACATCATTATACTCACACATGTACAATTTTATTTGATTCTGACAACTTCTTGGTATACTTTTATGGCAATAAGTGTATAGGCGACCCCTCTATAACACAGTAGATACATTCTGCTTTTTATGAAATTCATGTTGTACAAGTCCTTAAATACATGAGCCAATCACAGCCTGGCATGTATGCAGTTTATGGACTACAGCTGTTTGAAAGGTTTTTTTCATAAAATTAATTGATTCTAGACTAATTTGACTCAACATTTCCAAAACACTTATAATTTTTTTGGGGAATAATCCATATAAAATATGCTAAAAACAAAAAATTGTAGGATTACTTACCAAGTGTGCACCGTTTGACGACACCATTGCTTAAGCTTATTTTCATTGTGGAGTGGCGCATCAAATGGCGGGGCGCATGGTTCCTGATAAATTATTTTTCTGTGAAAAATTTTCTGAACTTTGGAGACATCATTAATATAAATATAATTTTTATGGATGTTAAATAATAAATGGTTTTTAGAAGCTCTGCTGCTCGTTTAAACTCAACAGTTTGTGCAATATNGACATCATTAATATAAATATAATTTTTATGGATGTTAAATAATAAATGGTTTTTAGAAGCTCTGCTGCTCGTTTAAACTCAACAGTTTGTGCAATATTTGCTATTGGTCTAGATTCGACCAATTCTGTCGCGACACAAGTCGGCGATGATGTTTTACCGTATTTTACGAGTTTCTTTTAGCGTGTTTATACGAATATGGTCGCAATTTTTTTGCCGCTATATATGAATCTGCATTATATGAACCCGTTTTATAGGAGGGGGTCTATTGTATATACAGTAAAACCTATATTTTGTGACCAATTTTTTCAAGCAAAAGTGTTTTTTTTATTACAGGTAATTTTTCAGAGGTCTTTAACTACATACATAGATAAACTTTATAAAATATTACATCAAATAACAGTTGTCAAAAATGTATTCTTGTATACAATATAAAATAAATAGATAACAAATGAAAGTTCCTTATGTAGAAAATCAAAATAATAGACTGAGCTACATAAGTTTATATTATCAAACTTACCAAAGCATACTGAAACAAATCTTCAACATGCATGTGTTCTGTATGAGTCAATAAATGATAAACAGCATTATATGTACTATTATAAAAGCCATTCATATCACATCCAGGTAGTACAGAGATATCAGGTGGAATCAAAGTTCTATCATAAAATTCTGAAAATTGTAATTAATTTTATAATTCAAAAGATTTAATATAAATTTATAATAGAGTAAGTATGACTCACCTTCTAATGTTTGTAATCCTGTAACTAATATAACACGAACACTTAAATGAGCAATGCCAACCTAGAATGAATATTTTTTTCATTTAAAATGTCATAATCAATTTATTTTCACTACAAATATTTTGAAAATATTACAGAATGTAAAAGATCAAGATTTCCACATTCCCATTTATGATATCTGTCCCAAGATTCCTTGCAACAAGCTACAGAACAATATCGTACTTGTGAACACTGGTGGCATCTGAATAAATAAATTTATTTTTATTATATAGAAGTCCAATAAAAATTTTATATATATATTATATTATATATACATACATATATGCACACATACATACAAACAAACAAGATAGAGTCAAAAATGAACTGAATTTTGGCATAAACTTTATTATACAACTCACTCTTACAAGATACAATAACATTTGCTCATTCTGCAGCTACATGCTATTACTAGTACCAGTACCAGTACCATTTGTCATAAAAAAATGTCTTCCAGGAAAGTTTTATCCTGTTTTATTAGTAAATTTTATTTTTTATGATATCTTTAAAGGCTTTCACAGCAATTCTTCTGGCTGATTGGAATTTGTAATCACTCAATTTCTTTCATTTTAGGGAAAAAATGTCTGTAGAGTCAAGATCAAAGATTGGGAAAGCACAATCATGTCCTTCTCGGTCAGATATTTGCTGATCAGAAAAGACCCATGACAGATGAATTGTCATGGTAAAGCACAGTTCTGCCCCTCTATGTATTTAACGTATGGTTTTCTTACCTTAAGCCTGATTCTCGCTATTGTGAGTATAAGATAAATGTGCCTAAACCTAAACATATATACAGTAGAGCATCGATTATCCGACCCCCGATTAACTGTCCCATCAGTTAACAGACTGTTCTAGTCGGCAAATTTCAAATGTCCACTAGTGATGTGGCGCTACTATATTTGGCTGTGTCTTGGATACTTTAATATTATTTTTGTTAAATTTTTGCGTGTTTTAGCTGGCAACACTGGCTCGACCATGAAAGGGAGGCCAGTATTTAAACAAAACTTAATTTTCTAATTATGAGTGGTTGTTTGTTTTGTGAGCAATAAAATAATTTAAAAATAATTTTTTAATGATACAATAGCGACGATTATTATTTTTAAAAAATTTTGTTATGCTTAACATTGATGAAAATTTAACATGAAGTAGGTTAACGATATACTAATATACTAATTAGTAATTACTAGTGTTGTAACGAATAGTATATTCGGCCTCAGGCCGAATACCGAATATTCGGCCAAACTATTCGGCTTGATTAACGCACGTACAAAAATTGGCACGCAAACTGCATTATGGCAAGGATCCTGCTCTCTATTGGCCCGCTGTCACTACGCTTCGCCAATCACGTTAATTCTTGGCAATTGTAGCCGACAGACAAGAGTGTCATGGAAGTATGTGATAAATGATGATATCAAATGACCTACACTTGTAAATAACGGAAAAAGAACAGAGAAGAACCGCAAAGTGAAAATGTGAAAATAAATATGAAATTCAGTTGATAACATAATCGAACAAGTCGAGGCAGCTTATTGGCACGAAATTCGCGCCCGTCAATGCCAAACAATTGTTGTCATACACTTCGGAAAGCTAAATGCTTGTAATGAAAGTCACTTAGCGTGCACGGGCAAAAGCCTAGGGCTGTTCGGTCTATTAAGCAAGCTGTCTCAAATCTGTGAAATCATAACTGACTTATATCGACGTCCTATCTGTCTCTCTTCTCCGTTATCATCAGGCTGAGTCACGTAATTGTAAAATGGGAACTCTACAACGGAAAAGTGACGAATTGAAAGTACCGTGAGCGTGTATTATGATGTATGCACAGGCATACATGGATTAGAGGGATAGAGGTAAGAGAAAGGAAAGAGCGAAGACGAGCGCTTAAAAAGAAGGATAGGCAGGGTCAGACTCTTGGATGTGCGACGATTCTTGAACGAATAGGTGTGTATGTGTGCTGATCTTCGTAATTATAAATTGTGAATACATGCGACTATTATTATTTTCTTTTTTATTTTGTGCGTGTTTCAAGTTATAAATAAATATAAACAAACAACACTAACTCGATAACATTAAATCTAAGTACCAAAATGATTAATGTACTGTGTTTTTGTTATTTATTACTGCTGTTTTTAGGTATTCGGTATTCGGCCAAATAGTGATTAAATATTCGGTATTTGGCCGAATAGTGAAAAATAGGCCGAATACCGAATAGTAACTGAATATTCGTTATATCACTAGTAATTACATTTAACTAATTAATAGTGATATACTAATTACATGGGATATACTAATATACTATACTAATAACGTATTTTTTTTCATTCTTTCCGATTATCCAATTTTTTCAGTTATCCGACCACTCTGAGTCCCCAATCGAGTCAGATAATCGATGCTCTACTACACACATATTCACTGTTCATGTGACAGTACATATGTCTGAACATAGGTAATCTCATGCTTCAAAATGTTGCAGTTGTTTGATCAACAACAGAAGCCAATGCATTTAACTCTCAACCAATAAAAATACATGTTCTTAGTTTTATGCTGTTTCTAGGAAGTGACTTATAAAATAAAATTTATTTTATACGTCACTGAATTTTGTTTTAAACAAACATTTGTTAATTAACTATCCACGCTCGAGTCTGACTCGAGCAAGGTTTATAGCGTTAAAAAAACCGAGCGTTTGGGCTCCCAAAAAAAATTTTTTTTTTGATTTTTGGAATGTTTTTTAAATCCCCAAATTTTTTCAAAATTTTTTTCCCACGCGAAAAAATTTTATAGCAATTTTAATCAATCTTTAATGACGTGCGCTTCACGCTTTATTGCTTTTTAATGTTTTTTTAATGGGAGTTTTTTATCAAAATTAATTAATCATTCTAAAGTTGTAGTGCACCGATTTTCCTTCGGTAAAGTTATTTAAAGCTGCTTTCTGATGTCAAAAACGATCTCCGATAGTTTTTTAATTTTTTTAATTAATAGATTTTATTATATAGAAGTTTAATTAATTAGGGGGGGTCGGAAATCGCAATAAAAATTATAATTTTTTTAAAATATTTAAAAATATACCGCCAGATTGAAGTCACCCTACTTTAAACCCTTGTCCTCCCGCGNCAAATCTTTTGGATATCCATATTCAAATGCCCTTTCAATATCAAGAAGACAAGCCTAACAAAAACAAAAATTAAAAACATTATTTAAATTTGTTTTGTTTAGAAATAAACTTATAATATTAATTTCTTATATTTTAACAAAATAGTAATAATTGTTTATTTCTTGATGAATCTGTGCACCAGTTTTAAAAAGATTTGAATACAGATAGGTTGTGTCACTTATTTTTCAAATTGTTTATAATAATTAATATTACATTGATAAGGAATAATGTTAATTATTACAGTAACAATTTGGAAAAATATTATTTTTTCTAAATTATAAATTGTTACTATTTCAAGTATATCTGAAAGAGATGTCACTGAATAAACATATTTTTTGATAATGGTGTGATTGTTGACATTGACAGTTCAGATATAAAAATATATTGCTATTGTGATTAGATTAATATAACCAGTGCTAAAAACTTAATTTCACAGAAAAGTACTTAAAAATTTTAAATGTAAGCAATGCTTATTGATACAGACATTATTTTATTGGTCAATTGGGCATGTTTTTAGATGCCCAGCCAAGCTGATAAGGTTGAATGCAAATAAAACAAGTAATTTGTCATCGTGGTAACTATACATTTGCACACACATCTATCACATATTTGCAAAAGCGAGAACCAGGCTTTATACTTCAAGGTGTGTGTTGAAAGTTTTTGTAAAGTTTCACACAAAATCTGATGTTTGCTCATTAATTCAGATATTTTATTTGGTATCCACCAACTTTTTTTGACACTGCTATACAAACTAGTCAAGCTGCTTATAACGGAAACAAGAAATAAAAGTGAAGATTGTGCACAAGTATGGACTTGACTTAAAATAAACTAGCAAGGGGGCTTGCTCAAGTTTCCCAGCAATTAAATAGGAAATTAAGACCATTAGAAAGTTTGATATTTTCAATTATACTAGGATATAAAATTTAAGTAATAACAAAAACTTAAAAGGAGTAATTTTGTTGAATTATGACAAAAATCTCCATTAAAAAAATATTTAAGTTACTAAAAAACACTGACACTAACTCAGAGTTAAAATTGTATGTGACACTATCTGTTATGAGATATTAATATAAAAGTTATTTTTTAATAGCCATTATCATAAGAAGACAAAAAAAGGCTTAATTTTGAGGGCAGAGATGCATTTTTAAAAATTATGTAAATACCAATAAAGTAAAATTTTTATTAATTCCAATTCCACTTGAAACGTAACATATGATCTCCTCTGTCTCCCCTACTCCCTTATAATTTCCAAAATCTAATAGCATTAATGTCCCTTACAAGTTACAATGCCAAATTTTGTTTGCTAATCTTTATCCCATTATGAGATATTAAACAAAATAGATGCAACACAAAAACATGGAATTTCCCTATTTTATTTTTTTGGTTCAGAAGGTTGAGAATTACAAAAAAATCCAGGGAGTCAAATTTGACACAATTACAATTCTTTCCCATGTTATGTTATAACAAATAACAACATTGCAAAGCCCGAGTAGTATATAATAATTCACCAAATGAGCGCCTAAATATCTGATTTACTTTTCTGCCTGTTATGTTATAACAGCCAGATGTAAAATGCAAAAGTAAAAATGCAAAAGATCAGTTCTTTTTTGATTCTAACTTGTATATAACAATAACAGAATTTATGCCATATTTACGGTACTGCTGCTTGAAATCGCAGATAACAATGATGGCAATGTGTGTTATAATGAGCAGGTAAAAGAACTGAAGCATAGGGTTGTTCTACAAATAATGTATCTCCAACAGAAATAGGACGGTTAGCCTAATCAATAATTTATTACAAGATTAGACTGGAAAATGGTAATTAATGTTCATTAGTTTAAAAAAACTTACAACAATGTATCTGCCACGTTCTTCATTATATTTCATATCGACAGCAGCAGATGCATAAGCAATTGTGGGATGAGAACCAGCAGTCAGCGTAGGAATTAAAACATCGTCATCATCATCATCTTGAGTCTCCCCATTTTCACTTTATAGAATTTCTATATAGTTATCTTTACTTTAAATTAAAAAATATTTAAAAAGCAATTGTATTACCTTTCAGTAATTGTAACCTGCCTATGAGTTTCAATCTCTTTTCTTAAACGTTCTAGAAAATAAAATTTAGAATAAAATGGATTTTATAAATGATAGCATTGTTACAGATAAAAATCACTTACCTGCTTTCTTACCATCTACTTTAGCTTGTTTCAGGTGTTGAAGTGCTTCATCAAAAGCTTTGAAAGTTTTTAACACATGTTTAAAATTAATTTTTTCATGTTGTAACAAACTTATTCACAATTTTTATTACCTTGATGGGCTAATTTTGACTGTCCTAATTTCAGCAAACATTGACCCTTCCTAAGATACAATTTGGCACGCAAATCTTTTGGATATCCATATTCAAATGCCCTTTCAATATCAAGAAGACAAGCCTAACAAAAACAAAAATTAAAAACATTATTTAAATTTGTTTTGTTTAGAAATAAACTTATAATATTAATTTCTTATATTTTAACAAAATAGTAATAATTGTTTATTTCTTGATGAATCTGTGCACCAGTTTTAAAAAGATTTGAATACAGATAGGCACTGCTTGAAAACTTTGATACATTCTGAAAAATACATTGTTAAGCTATTTTATCATTAAGCAAACATCATAGTGTGTATTTAGACACACCTATAGGCAGGGGAGAGCAAGACAACCCTTGGCATACCAAAGACTTTATTCTAGTATGCAACCCAGGGCTCATCTTAAAAAATAAATAGCTAACATCTTCACTGAGACATACATTTTAATTTAATAGAGTACAATTTTACTGGGTAGAGTAATACTAAATAAAAATACAATAAAGGAACAATTATTATTAACTGTTTTAGTAATAATAAATAAGAATATGAAACAATCATCATACTTCTAAGCTATCTATCTCTGCAATATACTGACTTACAATTTTTATCTGTTCAGTTGTTGCATCATTTGCCAAGTAGCCAAACAGGAAGTGATTATTAGAAAAAGTTCTTGATACTTAAAAGACACCAAATAACATGCTCCTGAAAAGTTTGATTGGCATGTGAGAAAATTTTGCATCATTAATTTGGAAATTTTGGCATGGACACTTATAAAGATTGTCCATTCCTGTTATAGGATATAGTCTGCTACTCATATAGCTATATATAACAATAATAAGTATTTATATACGTAAACATAAAAAAGATACAGACATCTATAAATTTTTCAACTCCATTATAATCTTATGGGACTTCCATTATATACACATTGTCTACTAGTACATACCTGTATATTTTGTTTCCCAAGTAAATGTTTAATAAATAATAAACAACCAAACAAACTGGATGTAAGTGTCAAAAATCTCCACAATAACCAAAAAATTCAGCAAAAAAAAATAAACTTTGTAAATAGTCAATGGCTAATAAAATTGATTGAAAATGCTAGTTTATTGATTAGAGTTTATTTTTTGTTTTGAGTTATTGTAGAGATTTTTGTTGATAAAATAATAATTTATCAATATTATACTTTTTCCCCTCAGTTTTATAAAAAAAATAGAAATAACTCACATCATGTTTTTAAATTGAAGACTAGATTACCTAAGGAACAAAATGACTTGTAAGCATATAACAAAAATATTGCAATTATTGCAAGCACATAATTGCAATATATAAACACAAGAGTAAAAGGAAAATGGATAATTATTGCATACATCCAATTGAATTACCCACATTTAAAACAACACATCAAGAATTAATGTATCATACACATAAGTATGATACATTAATTTATGAACTATCATTTAAGATACCAACAAAATTCAAGAAACACTTCAACACTTCAACTTAAGTCATATAAAATCATCTTTATTGAAGTTATAAAAATATCTAATGTCTTGCCTCTGGTAAAAAATTTTCTTTTTTTAACGTGTTTCCCAGAAGATGGATTTTATGTCAAAAATACTTGAAAGGTTGCTGTAAGTGAAAGTTATTTTTTAAGAAAATTTAGAAATTTCTAATTAGAAATTTAAAATTTCTAAAATTTTCTTAAAAAATAATACTGCATTACAATAATTTGTAATGCAGTATTTCTCAAACTGTGGTCTGGACACAGTTTGAGAGATAATCTGTATTTTCATCAAATACATATAATAACTGAAGAGGAGCAAATAGCTTAAAATGCCTTTCCTTTTTTATAAAAAAATTCCAGTAACGAGTTGCTTAACTTTCCTGGCAACATTTGGTGGAATCATCTATTATGATATTTTATTTAAAAACTTTTGATATTTTTAACTATTATAAAATGGCAGAAAGCTTAATTTTGAAGGTAGGAATGGATTTTATAAAGATTTATAAATGCTAATAATGAGCAAAATCATTATTAAGTCCAACCCTACTCGAAATATGACACATGACACTTTTATCTCCCACTCCCTTGAACTTTAATTAATCACCAAAAACTTAATAGCATCAATCTCCTAATACACAAACCTCCCTGCAAAATTTGAGAAATTTTTGACAAAAAGCACAGGAGTTATAAAGCTTCTAAAAAAGTAAACAAAATCAAGCCCCCCCACACACACTAACATCCATACGTAAAGAAAAAAACCCTTATTAAAATTTTTTTGTATTTCTTATATATAACAGAGCCAGGTAAGTAATAAAGTCTACATTACCAACCAACAGTATTCCTGTACAATAAGTTCTCAATAGCAATTCTGTGCTTCCTTCCAAAGAACTTCAAAAACAGTATAATAATGTAATTCTACTCTTACAGGGTCCAGCAGAAAATGAAGTTTGAAAAATGCTGAATAATGCACATTCTTAGCATTTGTATATTTCAAAGACAGTTTTTCCAACTTTTCAAAACTCCATATTATATTTTTCTTTTATAGCAGGGATGGACAACCTGCGGCCAGCGTTGCATAAAATATTATGGTCTATAAAATAAAAATTTTAAATTCTGACATCTGGTTGTCTGTAATCATACTAAATACCAAGAACCCGCTTCGTTTGACGCAACTGGAGACAGCCCTTGGATTGATAAATTTTTGCGTTTTTAAGGAATGATAGAATTGTTCATAAATGCACATTTACTGTACTTTCGTAGACTGTCCATACGTGCTTGACCCTTTTTCAAGACTAAATGAAGTCCAAGGGAGTAAGTAATATAGGGCCAACTCTAATTGCAAGGTATCAATTAATTTAACCTGACTTCACTCGATACTTCATATTGAGCTGTAAAGTTTTATCAATGCTTTTTATTGTTGCATTTAATTTTTTTGGTTTTTTGCAAATCATATACTATTAATCTACTGTGTACTGATCTAAATTTAGTTTTGTAGAAATTACAGGATTTATTAATAGGCAATAAATAAAATATTTACTTATAAAACAATTTAGAAATTAGATCACTATGGCAACCTTTATATCCTAAATGCAGAAAAAATCTACAGGTGTTCCAATTAAGACTATCAAACAGTAAACTCGAATGTGTCTTACAATCTGTACTTACTGTTTTAATCAGGAAACAAAGTTTAGTTGATAAAAAAATTTTTATTTGCTATGCATTTTGGGATTAAAAGAGTCTCTCTTCAAGCTACAAACACATTAATTTCAGATATATTTATCTGACATTAGTAATTTTAAAATGACAAAATAAAAAGAGCAATTATTTATTATGACACTTTCACAATGCCGACCTGCAAATTTTTTGTCACAATATTCTGCATTTTTTAGTAGGTTTTTGTCCTGTACATCATACTTTTTCTGTCAGCAAGAGAGTTGTGCCAGTTATCTATCTAACTTTGCTCATGGAAAAATTTTTAAATTGAAATAACACAACTTTCAATACAAACTGGAAGTTTGTATATAGTTAATCTGAACCTCCTGCCCCTAAGCTTTCTGTATCTGGATTTACATTTATCTAACTCCATTCTCAAGATTAATTAATTAAAAAAGGACAGACAAATGGACAACAGTGAAAATTTATAGGTCTATGATTTTTTCAAATTGAAACCCAATAAAAATTAAAACTATCAACTGGAAAAACTCCACTGGAAAAAAGATACCTCTATAGCAGGTGTGGCCAAACTTTTATCCCTTAGGGGCTACTTTTTTGGTAAAATATAGTCTGCGGGCGACTATGAATATGGGCAAACAATTTTAGGAATTTTATATGCACATGCATTAACATTCATTTGCATTGTTCATCGGGATAAATACAAACAGTATGGGTATGTTGCACAGACAGTCAAATTAAGATTTTTAAACATTAATTTAAGTGAAAGCAAATTGTTCAACTTTAGCTTCGCAGGCTACTTTCAAAACCTTTGCGGTCGACCGGGGTCTACGTGTTGGCCATCCCTGCTCTATAATATAAGTCACATCATAATTTTCAGATAGATTTTAGGTACAAAAATGTGTCTTATCAGGCAAAATATACAATAATTTAATATCTAGTTAACAATTGTGTTACATGGAATTCTCTGAATGCAATTTATTTATTTCTAGCTCTAGTCTTTGTTATTATAATGATTGAGTAAAAAAATATAGACTATATTTATGGTGTTTTTTTTTAGAAAACAATTTTTTAATAACTTCTTAAAAAATTAAAAACATTAAAGGTTAAGACAAGTTAGATAACCATTGTTTAAACCACTTAAAGTAAAATGAAACCTCTGAACAATGGTCAATGATTGGAACATAAAAAGTGACTATTGGAGGTTATTTCATATGCATATGAAATAACCTCTAATCGTTCATTTTCTCCTCAAAACCAATGTAAAAAACAATGATGCATCTTATAAGGCAAAAAATGTGGTTTTTGATAGAATTTGGTTACAATTGTAAAATAATACAATCATGATGATTTTACTGCTGTAATGCTTTTGTATATTTTTTACAAAATAAAATATTTCTCTTTTTATTTATCAAACAGAATGTCATACCTATGATCCTCTCGCAGTACAAAGGTTGAAAATTTCAGCCCTAGAATGATCATTTTAAGAAAGAGCAATACCACACATTCAAATGTTAGTATCTGTAATAACAGCAGATGATGTTTTTAAAACATCATATATCAAGCAGTAGTTTGTACTCTGTACACTTAGGTGGGTAAACTCACACAACTCATCTTCCAAGAAATGAGCTATGGCAGGGGTGGCCAACAGTTTTTGCCCCCCCGGGCCGAATTGGAAAGAAAACTTTTTCACAGGCCGAACCAGAGGCTGCCCTAGGAAGATTTTGAGGTAGTGTGAGATCTCATTGTGGTGTCACCCTGTAAGGACTAAATTGTACTGTACAGTACATAGAGATTACACATACATTTTTCACATTATCATGCTTTATCAACATTCTACTCTGTACTTACGAGATTTGTAATGGAGGGTTAACTCTAACTGGACAGAGAGTTGTTGACTTTTTTTAATATTTTTTTTTATTTTTTTTTAGGCATTAGAATTTTTCATTGATCTATTCTGACTTAAGTAGCTAATATTGAAAGATTAATCGTGGGCCACATAAATCCATTACACGAGCCATATGTTGGCCATGCCTGAGCCAGAGTAAGAGGTAGTCATGACAAATCATTGTCAAAACCAATGCCAAGTTTTAACAAAGTTCTTTATGCTTTCAAGTCTTTTTAGAGCATTTTAGTATGCTCATAACATCAACAAAAGAGACAAAACCAACATTGTGAATATTGAAAGTTTATTGTTCAGTTCAGAAAGGAAAAATGCTACTGAACGAATATAGAATAATGACTTTTTTAAAAACAAGTAATGCATATTACTTTTTGATACTGGAAAAATATCATTGGTGTATACTATTTTATTAAGAACTACATACAAGCAAACATCACTTTTTTCATTTTAAATAGGCTTCTCATCTACCATTTACCCATATCCATAGTTTTTCCCAGACCCCCTGATGAAAACAAAAAGTTCAGGTTTTATCATAATGACAAAATTTAAGAAATAGTTATAATTGTCTTTACCTATACAAGGTGGAGTCAAAAGACCCTTGCACCCCCTTCCATTTCATTCGAAAAGTACTAAAGATATATAGTGATACCTCAGTTTTTGCTGATAATCCGTCTGAAAACAAATGACAAAATCCAAAACTGACGAAAATTGAGGCAATTATTTCCATATGAATCAATGTAAATCCAATTAATTCATTCTAAACATTCCAAAATACATACCAAAAACACATTTTATAGAGAATAAATATAGTGTTTAATACCAAAAAGAAAAAGAATTATCTTTTTCTTTTTGGTATTAAACACTATATGTCTCTCTCATATTTTTCAATGATTTCCTTCTTCAACTCGATCATGTTCATGGGCTTCTTCTTTAAAAGACTTCTGGCTCTGGAAACTTTCTTTGCTCCTATGATGGAACAAAAATGAAAGTAATGGAATTGTTTGGCTAGAGGCACAGGATAATAATGCTCACACAATAAGAAACAAAGTCACATTGAGCAGCAAAATGCAACGATTGCCCTTTGTTTTTATAAAATTAGCAGTGAGGTCATGCGGGCACGCTGATGAATCCGAGGCAACCAATGAAAACAGACAATTTTTTTGCATAAAAAATCGATGTAAACCAAAACAGATGATAACCGAGGTATTACTGTATTTTCTTGACCTTGAAAGTGAGTACTAAAGGTATATTTTCTTGACCTTGAAAACAATTTAAGATCAACAAAAGGGTCCTGCCCAATTCGCCATACATTACTTCCTATAAAACTACATTAACAAAATTAATATATCTTCAGTACTTTTTGAAAGGAAAAAAATGAAAGGACTTTGAATTCACTCTGTAACAGTAATAAATAGATTGTTTTATTAATTCTTTCATAAAATGACATCATGGAAATTAGTATCATTAATTTTTTACAGAAGTCTCAACATTTATTCCTAAACTCCTTTATTCCTAGATATTAAGCAGGAAACAGAATTAGATATGTTCTTCATTTTAAAAAAAAAAAAGTTTTTCTAATAGTGAACTATTCTATTTCTTCCAAAAGAATAACCAATTGAATTATAGATATAGAAATTGTTTCAAATAATTATGCATTATATTTTTCATATATCAATGTTTTATATGAAACATAAAGACAGAACTAAATTCCTCAAAAAAAAAAACCCCGAAAAGAGATTAAATTTAAATGTATATTTCAAAAAAACTGGATGATACTGAATTTTCAGTTTCACAAAAATTCATCCATATATATTAAAAATTAATTTTCTATTATAAATTGAATAAGAGCACTATTGATGAGACATTACTCCATAAAGAAATATGTGAACTAATAAAATAAAAAACTGTAAAATCAAATTTTAAGAAGTAAACATTTACTGTGATTACAATAATCAATAAGCTAAAAAAAATTCTAGGATTAAAGAGTAAAATCAGATTAAGCAGTTTTTGCTGAGTTGGCAAATAAGCACTGTTCACAATTAGTGATGATGTAACAAAGTGATTGTCAATTCAATAACACCCTAGAGACAAGTGTGGTAGAGCCAGAAGACCAGTATTCCGAACAATGTTAATTGGCATTTGAACACTCACACTTGCCAGTATGGAATGAAGTGTTGATTCAACCTCTACACTATGCCACAGTTGTTTATTTTGCTCCATAGGTTTCATAGGATAATATGTCAATATGACAGTTGACATGAAAAAAATCAATCCTGTTTTTGTGATAATAACTAGCTAATGATAAATTTTTAATGAATTTTAATAAATAATACATCATACGAATTTTTTCATTCAAATGTTATGTATTATTTATTATTATAAAAGTTTTATTATTGTATAGAACGTATTATTATTATTATTATGTATTAAAGAAGTTTAATTCAAAACACATTTTTGTAAATACTACAATCAATGAACATGTTAAGCTGCATTTTTCTAGTACATGTTTCAAATATAAATCACATTAAATTTTAATATAATAACCACTGAAGAAGAATTATACTTTTTTATGTTTTACTAAACATTAATAAGATAAAATATTNTTTATTAATGATTTCTGAAAATAAATTGTAAAAGAATTCTTATGCTATTAACTATGTCAATTAAAGTTTAAACTGCTGAATGTAAGGATTTTAATGAGAATATATTTTTCTTAAATTAAATTACAATGTTTGCCATCAAAAAATTATTAACAATTAACACTTGCCTTATATCTATGAAGATGAAATAAAGCAGCTGATCTATTACCAAAACCTACAGCTAATTCTTCGATGTGGCTTCCAGCATCATAAGTATCAGGAAAAGGAGCTGCAAGTACACTCTGAAAAAAATATCATCATTTCAGAAATTCATATTTGAAAAATTAAATATTAACAATGAAATGTTATATATAATATCATCATCATCAATAATATCTACCATAAAAAAGATTACCACATGCAACAAACACAAAATACAAAAAATCTAGCAGCATTTATTGAAGGAAACTAAGGTTTTCAACTACTTTTAGTAGTCACCCTCAGGTTAGAATAAAAGAACGAGAATTCAAATGTATCAAACATTTGATTGAGTGCAGTGGTAATCATTATTGCCAGTTTAGAAATGAAGTACAGGTAACCCCCAATTGCCGTGTTATGTGAATCTGTGTTATGCGAAACAAAGAACTAGTACGAAAAGAAGGGTTAAGTTCCAAAAATTAAAAAACATGCTACTATATTTTCATAATTAAGATAAATATCTTTATTAAAATTTTCTTAAGTGATACATATTAATATAAACAATGTTTTCTTTGTCATCACTAAAAGCACTATTAACCGAGAGCGTTTTATTTTTGGCAAGTTATCGTTATCCCCTGAGCATTTTTCTGCATTATTTTCAGATTCATGCTTTACCTTTTGCAACAAGTGTATGTAACTTTAGATTGCTTGCTTCTAGTTAAAAGATCTTTATAATTTTCCTTATATGGTGCTAAGCACTTATGGAATAACGGAAAAACATCTAGCAACACCAGAAGCAGAAGCGTCAAGATCTGGCAAAATTGAAACAATTTTCGCGAAGGACCATGTGTATGGAGACAAGAATAGAAAATTTACACACTGAAGTACTAATAGTTTACGAAAATTATTATTTTCGTGAACTATTAGTACTTAAGTATGTAAAAATTTATTACATTTCATATTGTATGAGGGTTTTATCCATTTCTCAAACCGTGTCAGAGTGAATCCGTGCTATAAAAGTACCGTGTTATACGGGGGATGGTACCAATTCTCGAATCGTGTTAGAGTGAATCCGTGCTATAAAAGTACCGTGTTATACGGGGGATGGTACCAATTCTCGAATCGTGTTAAGCGAATCCGTGCTATAGAAGTGCCGTGTTATACGGGGGTTACCTGTACTTTGTTTTAATCGACCTCAAAAAAATGACTTCCATGCTTGTGATAAGGTGTCTTAATCCTTATAGTTTATGGCCATGTTTCTGTCTGTTGGCTCTATATATTTCAAGTTTCTCTAAGCTCCTAAGATGAGCCTTATTGCTGGTATAGTGTATAAGATGCCTTGTTGAAAGAAACTTTGATCTGGTTTTAGTTGCAAATGTTGTTAGGGCTGTGGAGGTGACACCCTTTTTGACTGAACTCTCATGCTCTTTTAATTGGAACTACAATGAATGAAAGGTAGCTCCTATGTATTGAAGTTTTTGGTAGATTCTGTGGTCAAAATCAGGAATGGAATATTCCAGGAGTTGTTTTTTTATAAATGAAGTCTTTAGCAGTTTTAAGGTGTGTGTAAATAGTTGGGTTTCATTTATTCAGGTATTCAAGGCCTTCACTATTTCTTTAAAGGTGTGCTTAAGTTGTTCATAATAGTAGTTGAAAATGCTTGTTTTCAACTACTTTTTACAAATTATTCAATAAATGTTGTTGGATTTTTTGGTATTTTGCATTTGCTGCATCTAAGCATCCAGTTATGTGCATTTATTTACCATATGGATTTTTTATGTAATTATCATCATTTAAATTGTACTGTTAAATACAATAAACTTTTAAATTATCAATATTGTGCAAAAAATATAACAAATGCAAAAAGAATTATAAACTTATTTAGCTTTAACATTAATAAAATTTTAATGCTAAATCTATAATGAAAACTGAAAAGTGAATTACTAAAACATATTTCAGTGAAATAACTGAATTGATGAAATAACGCAACTGAATCTAATACATAGGTCATCTATAAAGTAAGGTGCCTTCTGGGAGGGCTATGAAAAACTGGCCACTAATTAGATGTTAAACATATGAAAACTCCACATAGCCAGCCCATTGGAGAATGCAAACCTGTAATCAATGATCAGTTTTAAGTGATTTTATTTATTCTGCCACTGATAGCTTTCAGTGAAATAATCAAATAATGCTATTTGTATATCGAAATTTTAAATGTCTTATACTTGTAATTATATCTCATTAATATGATGTAATTAACAATAAAATGTTAAAATAAAATACCAATCCTGCAACTGTTGTAACTACTCTCTCCCTCCTCAACCAATAATTGGTGGACAATGGATGTGTGCTTCTCTCTTTGCTTAGCTAACTGTTTTATCTGTTGGTAAAGCTTTTCCATAATAACTTGTCAAGATATTCTACTCTAGGTCTTCCACGTCCCCTTTTGCCCTATCTTGCCTTCCAATAAAACATTCATCCATTCCAAGTGTTGAATTAGGTGGCCAACATCATTCCTCCTTTCCTGTATTGTTCTCAAAATCTGTCTCTTCTCTGTTGCATCTTCCAAAACATCCTCATTCCTCTTTCTTTCCATCCATGACACTTGCATTATTCTTCACCAACACCATATCTCAAAGGTCTCCAGTTTTCTTTTCTCTGCTGTTTTGAGTGCCCATGTCTCTGAACCATACAAATATATCAATTAATGTTAAAATCTGTTGTTTCCTACAGAATGTCTGTTTTGCTCAGTCTATTCTCGCTGTAACATCTCTTTCACTCCTTCCATCTGAGGTAATTATGCTAAGTACGTGAACTCATTGACTTCTATTTTTTCAGCATCCAAATAGACGTTCCTTTTTCCTTGTTCTTTTTTTCGAACATCTCATTATTTTCATTTTTTTCCTATTTATTCTCATCCCATATTTTCTTTTAAATTGTTCATTTAAATTTTCAAGAGCTATCTGTAGATCATCTACATCTTCTGCTATCATTGCGATGTCGTCAGCAAATCTTATTGTGCTGTACAATGTTCTGTTCACTTTTATATCTTTTGTATTAGTAGCATAGAATTCTGCATATAATATAGTGTGAATATAGTGTAGAATTGTATAAGAAGTTACAAAGAATTCTTCGTAACTTCTAATAATTTCTAATTTGCACACTTGTGTAAATATTGATTAAAATCCAATTACAGTTTATAGTTTTGCAGAACAACTTGTAATAGAATTTGAATTTTTTATTAATTATTAAATTATAAAATTTTTCACAGATACCAATATGTCTATTAGTTAAGACAAATTTAAGTAGCCAATTATAATCAAAAAATTGATTTTTAGTCTGATTCATCATATATCTTTAGATTTATTTTATCAATACTTACATTTATTATTATTTAATCTAATATTTGTTTGATATCGTTTTCCAAAACTGTTAATATTATTTGATCATCCACATAAAATCTGAAAATTGTTTTGTAAGACACCTGAATTACTTTTTCTTTCTGTTCTGTTCAGATAATCTGAACAAGATCCACTTGTTAATATACAATTCTACACATGATTTTCTAGCTTCATTTCCAATGTAGCCAATGAAATACATTAATTTTACATACCTGAGTATAAAATTCTACAGCTTTTTCATATTCTCTATTTTGAAAACATAAATTTCCTTCTGCTCTCAACTCTGATGCTTTTTCCCAGTATTTCTTATGACGACTGGAACACAAAGTATTCACCCATCGTTGTACTTTTCCCCTTTTAAAAGTAAATAAATTATTATTTTTGTTCCTTATGTAAAAAAAAATTAATTTGCAAAAGTGAAATGAAAAGAACTTAAAACAGAGTCCATAAATAATTAATTCCATAATTCAATTCCATCAATTCCATAAATAAGTAAAACCTAAATTTCATCTTTCACTATATCCTCAACTAAATATTTACATTGTTAACGACCAGTTTCAGTTGATAAAAAGTCATTAGAAATGTTAAACAAAGTTCTTAAAAATGCTTTTACATTTTTTTTTTTATTATCTAAACCAGGGGTGTCCAACCTTTTTGTTTCTCTGGACGACATTGGAAGAAGTCATGGAGTTTTGGGCCACAAGTATATTTTGACCCAATCCTTAAATATACAAGTATATTTAAGTATTAACATATCTAGATTATAGTAATAAGCATTAAAAGTTTACCACAAAAAAGAATATTTTTAAAAATTACTTTTACAGACACTTTCAATTTTTACTTAGAAATAGATAAATTCATTTATTATAAAGGAGACAAACAAAAATTTATTTGAAAAACACAAATATTTGTTTTATTTGGGTCTCTAATTAATAAAAAATGACGAAACACCATTTTAAAGTGCATTTTTATTCAACTAATATATTTATAAATAATATGTAGCCCAAAAAGTAGCCAATGTGCCAACTGATATTTTTTACATCAAACTAATAAAAGGGTAGCCAAATTTGGCACAAAGTAGCTGAATCTTGCAACGCTGGAAGGAATACTAAATAAAGCTGGAGCTGAGACTCAAAGGATTATAGACCCAAATGTGGGGAAAGGAGAAAAAGGACAAAAGATAAAGAAGTGAGGAAGGTTAGAAAATTAAGGGTCCATATTGCATAACAGGAGGTCTATTTAACCTTTCTCATTACTTTTTATCTTTAGGTCTTTTTCTCTTTTCCCCGAATTTGAGTCTATACTCCTTTGAGAGCCAATTCCAGCTTTATTTAGTATACCTTCCTCATTCACACATTTCTAAGTATTTGAAAATATTTCTTTTCCACTCAAAAATAAAATATGTATAAAGGTTTTGACTTTGTGAAACTTCTTTTTTGCCATTGAAATAAATAAATAAATAAATAATTTAAAAAATTGTCGGCTTTGTGTACACGTTTATTGGGCTGCATTCGAACTTCCCTTGGGCCGCGGGTTGGACACCCCTGATCTAAACTAGGCTTTTTTAGTTAAAAATTTAATTAACACATTAACTGTCATCAGATGCACCAACAATCATACTAATTAGGGCCATACAGTGCGATATGACTACTGGCAGTCAGAGCCAACTTTATAGATGTGCGCGAGAGGCCACCACTAGGATGTAAAACATCTTACAAAGCCAGAAAAATTTAAACTTGAGTGAAACTACATTGGTTATAGTGATGTATGGCAGTCAGACTGTTTAAAAATATCTGTTCAAAATGAAAACTTGCCAAACTGGAAAAAATATTTGGTACCAAGTGATTCTTAATTACACAGGTTTTACTATAGGTTAATTTATACAGGTAGCCCTCGGTTTACGCCGGTTCAATTTACGCTGATTCACAATAACGCCGCTGTACAATTCACAATTTTGCTGTGTAATTCTCTGATTTTCCCTATACCAGACTGATTTTCGTTTCAGTGTTGACGTATTTACCGAGCCGCAACATTGTACATTCGTTAAAACAAAGATTTTTATTGAATATATTTATTTTTTCTGTTTAATATTATTGGGTATGTATACATTTGCATTAAATTAATATTAAAATACTAAACGTTTAGGTACCCACGAGTCAAGTTATCAAACTTAATAGTCCAATAAATGGCGTCCGAATCCATAGCGCCATTGAATTTATCCCGTATCAGTTCGTTCAGGAAAACACCTTACGACGCAGTAGCACTTCCGGCGATCACAAACTATCGTTAGTGAGACAAATCTACTTCTCGTTGGCCAGACGATATCTATCTCTCCTTAATTTTCCCGCTCAAACTGACCTTACATATGCGCTACGGCGACCGGTGGTCGACCAATCAGTGTCTCCGCTCGTCCGTAGCTCTACGTCGGGTTAACGTATCCTTTCAACTATGGAAAGTTTGACGGATGAACTTTGTGAGTTAGACAATGATTGGGAGCGAAGTGCAAATGTAAAAAGGAGCATCATCGCATCCATTCGACCATATTCCGAAATTCTCAATGAAAGAAAACAAAAATGTAAACAATTAAAGATGGATACTTTTTCCGAAAAATGTAAGAGATCCGAAACTAAAATTTTTAATAAAAACATTTAACTTTATTTTATGATAAAATACATTTTAAAAATTAAATTTATTTGTACTTTGTATTATATTGTATTAATAAACAAAATTATTTGTGTATTTTTCAGTTATGTGGAACCTAACCCTATACCTCATTGTAAATATGGGTTCGTTTTACGCCGATTCGATTTGCTCCGGCTTTTGTAGAAATGGAACTGCGGTGTAAACCGAGGGCTACCTGTATTTCAAATTGTTTTAAATATTTATTTCATGGTTTTCTTTTTCTGATTTTGATTCTTTTCCATGTGGGTACTAAGATGGCCCTTTTCCCCCATATTCATAATGGGCTTGGCCAGACCTACAATGGGGCAGCTAGGCGGTGAAGGATGAGACTTGAGATATAACCTCCAGAAGAATTCTGGGGATTTTAAACATCCAAATTCAATCCTGGATCCCAGTACAATTGCTGATGCCTTAACAGCTTTAGCCATTATAGTTAAGCAAGATAATTAAAGTAATATAAAATTCAAAACAATTTTAAAGTGCAAGTATTATGCAAATAATAAGATTTAGTATAGGCAGAAGTGATTTTATTAAAAATCTACTGTTTAACATTACTAGTGACTTTTTTATTAACTAATTTATAGTTAATAAAAAGAATGAGTATGTATATATAATTTTACAGTTTTATTTTTCTACCTTAAAATTCAAGTAAATATTTTCAAACTTGTATTTTGGAATGGTTTGGATTAGATTAATAAGACAGACAATGCAATCTTCCAAAAGGGTGCCTCCCAGAGGACTTCTATGAGAAACTAGCTCCTAGTTAGGTGTTACACATATTGCAAAAATCCAGAAATAATCATGCAGCCAGCCCATTGGTAAGATGCAAACCCACATGCAACTACCAGTGTTTGGTGGTATTACACACCCAGCCATTAATTGGAAAATTTGTTTTAACAAACTAATTAAGATATGAACTAAACAATTTTTAAAAAATTTTTATTACTGATTTTCATAGATATCATTGTTTACAATTGCGTTTGAATACTGTAAAAATATGAAATATTCTATCAATGCTCTCCATATAAGATGAACAGATAGTTCAAGAATAATTTGGAAAATTACCACAGTTCATTGTTTATTTTAAGCATTTTAGTTTTAATAATTGCCTTACCTTCTCCAACTAGAATCAGGTGGAGGTGAAAGGAATGACGTTGAACTATAAGGTGAAACATCTGCCTACAAAAATAAAAATTCAATTTTTAAATGTTGATGTAAATTTTTATAAATTATAATAAACTATGTTAAATTTATAAATATTTATTAATGCAATTTGAAAGAAAATAAATTAACACACAAAAGCTGTTTTATTGAAGATAAAAACAAAACACATTCAAAAAATTTACCAACAAATATATACCTTTATCCTATGGAGACTAAGACTTTAGAATGCTTAAAAATTTTTCATAATTGAGTTCTAGGATTTAAATCAGCAAATGTATTCTAAAGATAAAAGTCCAATTGGTTCAAAAATAATAAATAAATAAACTTTAGACTTCTGAAAAGAATATATTTTTGTTAAATACTTGTTGTTCCGATATGAATATGAGTGTAACTTTTGCCTGAAGTGTCTGTAACTTATGATAGGTAATTTAGCTTTGCTTGTGTAGATGCATGAAGTTATATGCCATTATCTCATCTCACGTAGATATATTTTGTATTGTTTTGTTGTGTTTGATGTTTTATCTGTATATAGTATTATTTAATCTGCTGGATAGTGATATTAAGCCCAGACAGAACCAGACTGGACTTAAGAGAAGGCATTTTCTGAAGAGATTTGTTACATTTGATTTGTTTTGATGCATGTCACATGAAATCTGAAGTGGTGTTGTTCTCCAGTATTGTATTGTTTTGTAGAAATGTAATGAGTGTCTGATGTATTTTGTATAAATATAGTGTATGTAATGAGTGTGGGATGCNAAACCACAAGAATTTATCAGTTTACTTTAATTCATCATATGCATTGAATTAATGTGTGATTAAGAAAATAAATATGTATAGAAAATATTATGTTTTACTATTTAATAACTTCCAATAATTTCTTATAAGCAATGAACAAATAACTGAAACTAGGATTAATTTTTAACTCTCAGCACCATCCTTGCACTTCCAGCAAACACATTTATTAATAACATATTTATTGTTTTTGGAATATTTCATAAGCAGGTTTCACTCTCTAGCTTCAATTTGATGTTTGAAATACAGAATAACAGTCCAATTTCCAACCTTATCAAATTGAAGCTGGAGTATGAAACCTGACACAGGCTTATGAAATATGCCAAAAACATTTGTGTCATTAATAAATGTGTTTGCTGGAAGTACAAGGATAGTGCTGAGAGTTAAAGGCTTGTAATTTCTTATTAGTCAGAAAGAAAACTTGGTATAAAAAAGTATTTTGAAAACTTTATAATAAATAATCTTTTTTTTGATATTTCTTGTAATTGCTATATATCAAACAATGATCAGATAAGTTTTATTGATAACAATATTGAACTAATGTCTGAGCTCAATACGATTTAATGCACTGGAACTTTTTGATCTTGATATAATGGAAATGACATTAATATACATTATAAATTAGCATTTGTATATTCTGTTTAATTGATGCACTTTTGAGCACTGAATTTGGGTAATGCAAATGTTTTTTGCCTAGTTAATGGGCCAAAAATATT